AACTATCGACTTTTGCTAGTCGACCTCATACTAGAAGGACATCAAGAATGCAACTCCCAACCATCTGGATACTCTAAGTCGACTCTCTCCAGTCGACTTTCTCATGACGACTCTCTAAGAGACGACCACCGCAAGGAGTTAAACCAGGTGTAGCCTCTGGAACCACACATATTTGTAGGTCGACCTCCCCATGCTCGAGGTCGACTCTGTACATCTCGAATATCAAAGTGGCGAAGACAATTCACCACACTTGCCAACACATCCAAAGCTCCACATACTATCAAAGATAAGAAGGAATCTTATGATGACTCAGCAACAAAGGGGAGACGAATCGACAGGGGTATTTTGGACCTTCTAGGTCCACCGACTTGGGCATTTTGGGCACTTCACGTAAGTATTCACTCCTATATAAAGGAGATGAGGTAACCCTAAACCCTAACTTTGATTCATTCCACTCTCCCCATAGCTGCTGCGCAGCCTCTCTTCATCACTCTCATACTGACTTGAGCGTCGGAGGCTCTACGCCGGAAACACCTCCGGCGTTGAGTTCTTGCAGGTATTCTTGCGGTCTAGCAACGGTTTCAAGGCGGTTCAAGCAGATCTGAGCTCACAACCACCGGTTTACTCCAGATCTAGAAGTAGACCCATCAACAAGTAATGCTCCTAAAAAGAATCATAAATATTCAATATATTTATGGTTATTCCAAGTTTAGTTGTTGTGGATTGTAAGTGAATTAAAATCTACTAAGCCAATAACAAAACATGAAAATTTTGGCTCATAAGATTTTAAAACATGCGAGTCAACCACTTATATAACTCAACGTATTCGAGAATTATATATAAGAATGCCCCAAATTTTTGTGTCGTGATTGCTCCAAATTTGTTCACTTGATTTAATGCCAAATTTGTTTAATTGTGCTTACAATTGACATATTTATTTTTTTTATGAAAATTTTACTTACATAAACCTATTGATTTTTTTTATTATGAATTATCAAAATCAAATTAATAAATAAAAAATATTAAATATTCCTTCTGGAAAGATAGATAATACTAAAGAAATTAGACTAGATAGAGTTTTTTTAATTCGTATTATTCTTAGCGCTCGGAGGTATATATAAAAATTATCACATTATACTAATTTTGAAAAGTTGTAGACGAATTAGTATTATTGTAAACATACTCACATTTTCTTTTTGTAAACTAGATCATGTGTTTTGGTTCGCTTTATTTAATTTGAATAATATTTTTTAATTATCCGTCAATATAAACAATATTTAAGTTTAATTAATTTAAATTAAATAATATATATTTTTAAATATCATTTAATATAAATCATATATAAAATCAGTACCAATATCTTATGTAATGACGGTAAAGATTGTAAGAAAAAATAAACACTACTCATTCTACCATTCTCCAAATTAAAATTTTCCAAAGCCCTCAAATAAAGACTTTCCCAACATAATTTATGTTTTTTATATAAAAAAATCTTCAATTGTGTGACTTATGAAAAAAATGATTAAACCATGTTCATCTAGATATGGCCAAATAACGGTTCCGGGTCGGAACAGTTGGTTCCAGGCCGCAGTTTTGAAGGCCGGCCTGTTCATAAACCGTTGGTTCTGGATATGCCAAATTCATTAAAAAAATTAAAAAATAATTAAAAAAAAAGTAAATGTAACTATTAAACATTTAAATAATAGGATATGTAAAACAATCTAATCATCAGATAATAGGATATGTAATAAATTTTTAAACAATATCCATAATTATACTATGTAATATCATGTTTTTATTTGTATTGTTTCTTAAAGTATGAAATTTTAATTTAAAAGTATATGTAACTATTAAACATTTATAATTGTCTTACCATTTGACCCGATTTAGCTAGACATTGATTAAGTTAGAAAATGAGCATACAACTGTAAAGTTGGCTGCTGGTAAAAACGTACGAGTAAAAATGATGTTTTAAACAATGCACTACGAAAATAGTATATTGGGCTTGATTGTTTATGAAATAATTTGTTCAAAATGAGTTATTTTGGTTAACCATAATTAATTTTGAGAAATGTGGTATAGTTAGTTGTTAGTGGAATTTCAAAAATATTTTAAAATAATATTTAAAATAAAATAATTAAAATTAATTTGATGTAAAAATAGGAGATAAATGATTGGAAATGATAGGTAGTTAAAATTTATGTGAGTGGATGAATAGTGAATTAAAGTTGATGTGATGTGTAAAAATAATTAGTCTGTATTATTTAATTATATGAATAATATTAAAGATATTGGAGTTGAGTTAAAGCTGAGTTAGATTTTGAGTATGAGATAAAATAGTACGTAACCCGTGTGATGCACGAGATGTAAAAAATTTGGAAGAATAATATAATGTCACGTGCATTAGGATCGAAATTGAAATCATTAAAATACATAGGAACATTGTTGAATCATAAAAAGTTCGGTAACAATCATAAATTATTAAAAATCTCCTTGTACACAACATTATGAGTTTGATTATTTGGTAACTCCTCATTATCACAAACTAATATTTTCAACCCCCTTCTGTTATTTACACGCGAAGCAGCAACATATAATTGGCCGTGACTAAAAACGGGTTTCTTCAGGAAAAGACCAACATGCGATAAAAAAAGAGTTTTTAAAAATTGAAAAGTTAAGGCAATCAGTTCAGATTAATTAAATGTCAAAGAATATCCGCTCCTTGAAATAAAGACGTGTGGTATCATTAACCAAATATCCGGTTATTGATATAGAGTGGTTACCAAAAAATAGAACGCGATAAGGACGCTTCATGGAAATATCAATGGAATAAGGTCATAACAGATCGCTATACATTTTAACGATAAAAGCTCATATGGAATGATTTAATTAGATGTGTGAAAAAGACATAATTAATGAGAAGTGTGAAAATGATATAATTAATGAGAAGTGTGAAAATAACAAAAACTTACCGATTTTGAAAAATATTTAATGCAAATCCGACATTGATCATAATTTGACCTACTATTTTGAATAAATGTTAATTCTTATTATATAAGTATAAATGTTCAGACTTTCAGAACGCTAAGAATAATACGAATTTATATAAACAAGCATGCCCAGACTTTCAGACAAAATTCCACTTTTATTTCAACTGTGCACAATTTTACTATCCTTTCTAGTTTTTACCTCAACAATTCAAATCTACTTTTAGAAGCAAAAGCGTTCACTTTTATTGAATATGAGCCGTCATTTGAGGCGGAATATACACTACACGGCTCGACTTTTATATCGACTTTAGCTAACAAAACCAAGTCATGGAGAAAAGAAAGAAGAGTAATGCTATTTAACTAACTTGAGTGACAACTTGAGCTACAACTCAAGCATAAATATATTATCACGAAATTAAAAAATAATGCAATTACACTTGAGTTGTAACACAAGTTGTAATTCAAGTGAGCTTTGTAGCATTACTCAATGACCGCGCGTCGCGACACGACAAATTTAAATTTATATTATTTTTCTTCAACTAACCTCTACTAACTAGTAGTAGAGGCGAGTAAAGGTCGATCCCACGAGGAGCAGGAATTAAATTGTGATAATTTCGTATTAATCGAATTAAAACTAAGAAAGCAATAAAAGGTGGGGGGATTGGTTTTATAAAATAAAAATAAAAATAAAAATAACAAAATAAAATAAAAATTAAATAAAATGAGAAGTTCAATTCTCGGTTCAGTTATCACTCAATCTCAATCTACCGTTAATTAATTTCAACTCTTTTTCTAGATTGTTAATGAATTACCAACCCTAGCTAACAACCTCTGTTAACCGAATTTTCCCTTACTGAATATTTAATCGAAATAAGCACTTCCACTAAACTTAACTAGCGGACAACCTAGAATAAGCTCTCTAGATTTAGTGCACTAGAAGCATTAATTCCTGGGAAAATAGATCAGTCTAAGCAATGGACGCAAAAGCTCGGACCATTTAACTTATGTTCATGTTTTCGTAGAGTAATTTACTACTAACGAAACGAGAACAATAACAATTACGGATTAAAGTCTCGAATCTAGCAATTAAACTATGAATATTTAATCCAGCTAGCCAAACTAAATCAAACACCATAATTCATAAACATTCAACACAGATAGCATGAATCAACTTATCAACAAAAATAAATACGACGTCTAGATTAATCAACGATAAATATAAATCCTTCAATTCATAGATAAATCAAAGTTAGGGTTCAAACATCCCCTAAAATTGGATAAAAATATAAGCCTAACATACTAAAAAGAAATAAATAAAAGATAAAAGAGAGAAAATAAAATCTCCCTCATGTGCGAGTGCGGCTTCTCTCCGCGTGTAGCCTCTTCTCCAGTCCGTGCGTACGCTACCCAATGAGCTTTCCGCTTTCTGTTCTTTTTCTCCCGCAAAATAAAGTTCTCCCCAAATAAATCTCCCGCAATATCAAAAATATATCTCTGGCCAATGAGTCCTACTCCTTTAACCCTCCGAATTACGTGAATGCCATGTACCTTAGGAAATAATTCCAAGTTTATCTTCCAGCAAATAATTCCTTGGGCTTCAATTTCATCTCAAATAATTTGGACCATCACATGAAGTTTGCAAATTATCATGTGGCATGCGTAATGGGCCGACTTTGATTATATGGCCTTTAATTGGTCCGGTACTGGATGTCTCGATGATTGACCACGTAAAATTCTGATCAATGTTGTGTCGTCCATGAAAACACTCTAATATTCTGAAAATAAACATAAAAATATCAATGTATATGAATCCGTCCAAACAATAAATAAGTCAAAAAATATAAACGTACAAATAAATTAAATGTATAAAAATACACTATTAAATATATAAAACATGCACATTTTTCGACAAGAAAATAGGACCAGCATACATTCTTTAGACTAAAAACTGAGGCTGTCACTTGTTTAATAGGTCAACTCTTCAGTTTCATATCACAGACGTAACTATTAATCAGTTACACCTCGGCCGAAAAAAAAAATAGTAGAAATTAAAAAAAAAACAAAATAAAAGCCCTCAAACACTCATGAATTTATAGAATTTTGTCAACTTAGTCAATAATAACCGTTGGACTTAAAACCGAATGTAGCATAGTATGCGATCCAGATTCATAAATGAAACTTACTTAATTTGGCCCTTGCACACACTCATCAAGTAGAGTTGACTTTCCCAGTTGTTGTAGCTTATATAAGCTCTAAAGTCCCGCCTTCCCAGTTTCACACTAACAGACAAATTCTCTCTTCTCATTATATCCTGTGCCCAATTTCTGGTAAATAAATAAATTGTCTCTTCTCATTAATGCATAAATCATTGTTATTATTTTGGATAGATTGAAAATGAGTGGGAAGCGAATAGGAGAGGAGTCAGATATGGTGAGTGGGAAGCGAATAGGAGAGGAGTCAGATATGGTGAGTGGGTATGTCCACAAGGTTGGGGTGCCGCCAAAGCAGAGCCTTTTGAAGGAATTGAAGTTCACTTTGAAAGAGACTTTCTTTCACGATGACCCCTTGCGACCTTTCAGGGACAAGTCAGTTCCGAAAAAGGCGTGGCTCGGGATTCAAGCCCTTTTCCCAATCCTCGACTGGGGAAGACACTACAAATTCCACATGTTTAAGGGCGATCTCATAGCCGGCCTCACCATTGCAAGCCTATGCATCCCTCAGGTCATTATATTATATTATATATCCCAACAATTAATGGATTTCGCATTAATTTATTTATTTATTAGGATATATATATCTATATATTTTTTTTTTAATTTTTATTTGAAGCTAAAAGTTGAATAAGTCAAATGTTTGACGAGTAAGTACATGGCGAAACCTGCTTCGTAAATGAAACTTTTGTTACGAAGCCAACAGTTGATTCTATAGTGGAGCCAACTTTTTATATACAACAAGTAAATCATACCATATTCTCTGATTACTAAATAATAGTAATAATTTTATTAATATGGTATGGTTTAATCAAGAAAATATTAATTTTGTGCCATGGTTCTGCCCGCATAGCTGTATATTCCAGTTTCTAATTATATTTGGCACCTACTTACGTACCTACTATTTTCCCCTGAATAAGTAAGAGAACAAGAGTTTACGGAATATGTTAGGTAAACAATGAAAACTCTTTGCAACATAATTCTGATCACATTTTACATCATCATTTTACGGTTGAAGGCCCAATAATTGAAAACATTATTGCAAACTAGTATGAATATTTAATTTTCAAACAATATAATTGAAATATGTCCTTTTCATCATGCAGGATATTGGTTATTCAAAACTGGCTAATTTGGATCCGCAATTCGGTCTATGTAAGTAAGCTTAATTCGTTGCATCCTTACATAAACTCGGCACAAATTTATACGCTACAAAATTAATTTATCAAAACCCATAACTTCTTTTTCTTTTTTAATTCCTTTTTTTTTTTTTTTCCTTTTTTCGAACAGATAGTAGTTTTGTGCCACCCTTGATATATGCCATAATGGGTAGCTCGAGGGATATAGCAATCGGTCCAGTGGCTGTGGTGTCCCTATTGCTCGGGAGCATGCTGCAAAACCAGATCGACCCCAAACACAAGCACGAGTACCAACGGCTTGCTTTCACGGCTACATTTTTCGCTGGCATTACTCAGTTTGCACTCGGTTTCTTCAGGCTTGGTTTCTTGATCGACTTTCTCTCTCATGCTGCCATTGTTGGGTTCATGGCTGGGGCAGCCATTACCATAAGCCTCCAGCAGCTCAAAGGCTTTCTCGGCATAAAAACCTCTAAATTCACCAAGAAAACCGATATAGTCTCTGTTATGCGGTCTGTGTGGACTACCGCGCATCATGGGGTAACAAATAGTTACGGTCTCGGCGTAGATATTTTCACAAAGAAATTAAAGTAAAAGGAAAAATCTCTGTTTTATTTTATTTTCTATGTTGGCAGTGGAACTGGGAGACTATTGTGATAGGAGGCTCATTCTTGGCTTTCTTGCTTTTTGCCAAATACATTGTGAGATGCCTAACAATTTATATGTTTCCAACATTTTTTTTTTTCCGACGATTAATATTAATTTTCCACTAAATTATTGTTGGATCAGGGGAAAAAGAACCGGAAGTTGTTTTGGTTTCCGGCAATAGCTCCTCTGCTTTCCATAATCATTTCGACATTCTTCGTCTTCATCACTCATGCAGAGAAGAAAGGAGTTCAAATTGTACAAATTTGACAAAAAACTTACTATTACTGTCCTCCACTCGAATATCACATGTGAAACTTGACATATTTATGAACTATTTACTATGTATTTTTGAAGGTGAACCATATTGAAAGAGGCATTAACCCTTCATCTCTGCATGAAATTCACTTCACCGGCTCTTATGTCGGCACCGGATTCAGAATTGGTGTCGTGGCAGGCATTATTGCGCTTACGGTAACCAAAAAAAAAATGTTACAGATGGATTTTTTTTTTTTAGGGAAAAAAATAAAGTAGTGTTCGACTTAATTATTGATAAACAGGAAGCTGTAGCAATCGGCCGAACTTTTGCTGCCATGAAAGACTATCACTTGGATGGGAACAAAGAAATGGTAGCACTCGGGACAATGAACGTCGTGGGCTCTATGACGTCATGTTATGTCGCTACAGGTTCATCTTCATTCTTCCAAAATAAAATAAAACGAATTCTTATCCAAACACCGCATTTAAAAATTTTCTATTAGCTTAACATTTTATTTTTATTAAATTAAACAATTAGGATCTTTTTCACGGTCAGCCGTGAACTACATGGCCGGGTGCAATACGGCCGTCTCAAACATCGTGATGTCATTTGTCGTCTTTCTAACTTTGGAATTCATCACACCACTTTTCAAGTACACACCGAATGCCATTCTTGCTTCCATCATTATATCGGCTGTTGTTGGGTTGTTCGATTATGAAGCCATAATTCTCATATGGAAGATTGACAAGTTCGACTTTGTGGCGTGCATGGGCGCCTTCTTTGGGGTCGTTTTCATCTCTGTCGAGATCGGCCTTCTTGTCGCGGTAGGTACAAAAATATTGCAACAGGAGAAGTCAATTTACTAATTTATTATTAGAACACTAATGGCTTTTCCTAGGTTGCTATATCTTTTGCCAAGATTCTTCTTCAAGTGACTAGGCCACGAACTGCAGTGCTCGGGAAAATCCCGAGGACTACGGTTTATAGGAACATACAGCAATATCCTGAGGCAACCAAAGTTCCGGGTGTTGTGATTGTTCGGGTTGATTCGGCTATATATTTTTCAAATTCCAATTACATTAGGGAAAGGTACTGAAAACGTCTGAAAAATGTATAACTTCAAAATTTCTTCACAAGGATGTCTTATTTTGCCATTAGTTGCTGCCTAGGCCTAACAAAGTTGAGGCATGGGACTAAAATTCCGACAAAATTGTGTTTCTTGATGAAAACACTATTTTGTTTTCAGGATACTGAGATTGATGGCTGATGAAGAGGAACAACTTAAAGAGAATAATCTACCAAGAATCCAGTATTTGATAGTCGAAATGTCACGTAAGCAAGGACTAATTAGCTAATTCTACTCTGNNTGATCATAACAAAATGGAACTCAAGTTAAAATCTCTTGTCTCTGTTGTTCAGCCGTGACGGATATAGATACCAGCGGCATTCATGCATTGGAAGATCTACACAAGACTCTACAAAAGAGGGATGTACAGGTAAGCAAGAAAATGTCACCAGTCTCATGAACATAACATATTTTGTTCTTAGATATCCATTTAAGTTGATTTATTTGTTTTTCCAGCTTGTTTTAGCGAACCCAGGGCAAGCTGTGCTGGACAAGCTTCACACATCCACCTTCACCATCACAGTTGGATACGACAAAATATTTCTCACTGTTGGAGATGCTGTCATGACATTGGCTCCAAAGATGGAGCCTTGATATCTCACTTTTTCCCCAAAACAGTTTTCACATATTCCACGTGTGCTTCATATATATATGTACATTTCCTGCCTTCGTCTTTTTTTCCCTTTTTTTGGGTTCAGTTTGGTGATGGGGGTTGTTTACGCTTTTAATAAACGCAGAGAGTAATGATCTAATTTGATAGTTTGAAGTGTGAAAACTTGAAGAGGGGTTGTTTAATCAATGTGTTCATCTGATTGTGTGGAGCCAAGTCTCGTGTAATTCTTTCGTTTTTCTTCAAACTCAAAATATCGCCGTCGTAAGTTCTTAGCTCAAAATATTCAGCTCGAAAGGTTTACATACATGCTGTATCTGTATATACTCAAAATATCGCCATTGTAAGTTCTTAGAGTGACTCCTGCAGCACTATAGTTAATCTCTAAGCCAAGGACAAAACCTTGCAATGCCAATGTCTTTGATTGTAAACTGATGATCTAAGAACCTTTTTTAACTCACAAATCAAGTCATTGCAAGAACCAGTAACCAAAACATCATCAATATAAACCAAGAGAGCTAGAAACTTCCCATCCGTGTGCAGAAAAGAGACAATGACCATATAAAAATTGTACACAACCTTTAACTGATATTTTGAAGATCTTGGTGTTCGATACTCCATTTTATGCTTCAAATAATAGAAACCCAATTTTATCAACAACTCTTCGTTACTATCAATGAAAGCACCTTTAGATAATTCATGTTCTAGCATAGACGACTCTTCAAATGGAGGTTGAACAACGACATTGTGATAACCTCCTCCGAGGACCATCCAACCGCTACTCGAACGAGTAGCGGTTTCATTCAAATCGTCATCTGTAGTAGCAACACCTCAAGAAATGTCAAGCTGTAGAACATCGTGGATCCCTATACTTTTTGGTTACGTAGAATATGCTCATTTACACCACCTATTATATTTGAGGGAGACACACCATTGTTGTCGCCATATTCACCATCTTCCGAGACAAGCATATCATCTTCTTCAATAATGAAGTCCGAATCATCATTGCTATCATCACTCTCATCTAGGATGTCGTCATTGCCATAAGATTATCCTTGTTGTGCACCTCATTATTGAAAACATTAGAACATTGTTGATCAACATCACCTTCATCTATCCTAGAAGAATCCCCATCCATACCTCAATAGACTTGTTCGGGAAAACAACGTCAGACATTAGGTTGATTTGGTTCTGTCCTTTGTACTACATATAGTTGCCAGTGTTCGCCGCATGAGATGTTGATGGTTGACTGTGTATGTTCATTATAGATGGATGTACAACACCATATGGATAGAGAGGTGGACTCTGAGCAGCAACTAAATTCATAAATCCATATTGTTCCCGAATATAGCCATACGAAAGGTACGTTGGTACAATCTACTCAGTATACGGACCAAACTATGTTTCGGTTGTAGTGTAACATGTATGGTAGGTATTGTGAACAAGACACATTTCGGAGATCTCATTCACAAGAGATTCTCCATTTCTCCAACTCTCTGTCATCACCGATCATTAAAAAGTTAAATTGGTAGTCACACATATGTTTTTCCTCATGAACAATGTTATGAACTCTATTCATAAAAACTTCATATGATGAAGTCCGAAGACACCAAAAATCCATCTTTATTTGGCCATTTTCATTCACATTCTCATCCCAAAAGCCGTTGTGAACAATTCAAACTTTATCAACGTCTATCTGGAAAAAAATATATCTTTCTTCATACAAATAGTTTCTTGAAAATAAATTCTAACTCCCAGAAATTATTTCTAGGAAATATTATGCGAGTCCCAAAACAGTTTCTAGAACAAAGTATAATATTACCAGAAACGGTTTCTAGAACCCATTTTCTTCGCAGAAATAGTTTCTAGAACCCAATTTTCTTCAAAGAATGGTTTATGAAACAAAAATATTTGACTTCGAGAAATAGTTTATAGAACGCATTTTTTCCCAAGGTTTCTGTAACAATAATATATGAGTTCCAGAAACGGCTTCTAGAACTCAATTTTTTTATTCTCATAAACAGTTTCTGGAACAAAATAAAATGTTTTCCGAAAATGATTTCTAGAACTCAAGATTTTTTAGAATACAAAATTATTTTATGATTCCCAAAATGATTTATGGAATAAAATTATATATCTTTTTTCTAACATATTCAAAATCAAATCATAAAAATAGCTTTGCAAACAACATCAGTTCCAAAAAGTTCTTAACAAAAGTTTCTATAACCAGAAAATAAATTCATTGCAGATAAAATCACAAAATTCATCAAAAATTATGACTTGCTTTGGATATAAAAATAAATAAAATTTTAGAAGGGGCGAATTGAGTTGTGTACATTTCTTTTAAAAGGGGCGTACTTCTTGTGTGATGTGATATAGCCATATTATGATATACCGGTCCACGTACATTCTCTAAGTGCTGCTTGCTCGATCGGGATTGCGAGTCGAAGCCATCTATATGTTGACCTCACTGAGTCGACATGCGTAAGTCGACCCCTTGGCACTTGATAGCTTTGCATGGCCATCTGGAGACGAGAACCGGTTTAACCAAAGTCGACTTCAGAAAGTCGACCCACGAGATCGACCTCTACCAAGAATGATATACATAACCTCCGAATGCTCATACGATCATAAGTCGACCTTACAGTGCTCGTGGACGACTTCTTGCGCCTCGAGGCCCAAAGCATAACAACGATTCAACACACTTGCAGATACTCGTTGAAGTCTCTTATCTCTGAATGGATAAGAAGGAATTTTATGATGACTCGGCAGTAAGGGAAGACGAACCTTCCGGGGTATTTCGGACATCTCAAGTATGTCGACTAGGGCATTTTGAGTACTTCAAGTAAGTGTTTCCTCCTATATAAAGGAGGTGAGGTACCTTAAACCTTGACTTCTATTCATTTCATACACTCTTCTACTGCTGCTGCTGCTCTCTCATAGCAGCTCTTTTTCATCTTCTTCATACACTGACTTGAGCGTCGGAGGCTCTACGCTGGAAACATTTCCGGCATTGAGTTCTTGCAGGTGTTCACGGCGGTCTAGCAACGGTTCAAGGGCGATTCAAGCAGATCTGAGCTCAAAACTACCGGTTCACTTCAGATCGAGAAGTAGACCCATCATGATGGATATGAATCTTGTAAGAGCCCAAATTTTTGGAAGTGAAATGAACTTTGGGAGATGGGTTAGGAAGATGGCGATGAGTGGTTGGTTTGGTTTGGCTAGGAAGATGGGTTAATTTAGAAGGTGATGAATAGTTGGTAGGTGGGTGAATTTAGTAAAGATAAAATTGTCGTTTTACCTCTTAATATGACTTTATCTCATTCTATATTTCTATTCAATAACATGGCATTAATCATTTTTTGTTTTAAAAAAGCACTGTTATGGCGCTGACCCACACTAGATTGTTCATATGGCTAACTATAAATATATGCAATATGTTGTGCAAATGTAGAAGCGATGAGAGCAAGCAGTTGAGCGAGTACGATCTTACGTTGTGAGGAATGTGCCGTGAGCTGCTAAACGAGTTACTATTGTGATGTCCCAAATAAATATTTTGTGTGTTCAATAAAACTATTTTGTGGTATATCTCAGTTAATCAATTTCCAAACAGATAGATAGATGCCAGCCGGTAATCAAACTAGAATGCCTAGCAAACAGATTTTCCGATCTGAAATGCAATTGCAATTAACCATCATAATGACCAAAACCACAAACAAAATGTCCATCAGATGCAACCAAAAGTCGATAAGAATTCATTCCCATGTATCAATATACTAAAATTAAAATCATACGTAATAAAAGAAAAAGAAGTCCTGTAAACACGAAGGAACTCCGACATAAACCCAAAAACCCAACAGCACAAGCGCTGTAGATCTCAGCATAGAGAAACAGAAACAAACACGGTGGACATTAAAGTAAGAAAGAGCATCTTGACTAATTTGGCCGGCAGCAAAAATGTGGCAGCCGAGGTAGATCCAGCTGGCGCACTGTTGGCTTCTGGTGTGTCTGCTGGGCTACTCGGAGCCACGCTGCTCGGGGGGTTTGAGCCACTGGGGAGCGCTATAGCCACTGGTGATTGAGCTGTACATATTGGGAAAAAAAAATAAAAAATAAAAAGAAAAGAAATCAAACATTTATTAGTTAAAAAAAAGAAAAAGAAAAAGAAACATTAAGAAATATATATATGTTGGTATATATGTACCTGGGACAGGGGAAGCACTTGGTCCGCCACTGCTGACTGTGAACACAAGAAATTAAACTCAAACAGAAATAAAATCCACATATTGATCAGTTATGAATATGGCAAGAAAACACAACATAAATGGATACTGAGAAAGGACAGATCCACAATTTTTTTTTCTTGTAAATGTGATTAGTAGATTTTAAAACCATTTGAAAAGGAAAAATGGATCAAATCAAGTCACACCATTAATCGATGTACTGTATTCACAATTAAATTAAATAGTGGAATATTACAAAAATGAAAAAAGGGGGGTTTAAGTGAATAAAAATTGAAACTTACAATCACAGTTGGGAATGTGGGGGAATTTAACTTTGCAGTCCCGAGGTAGAGATTGGGCCCTGGTGGTGCTGAGGTTGAGGCCGAGATTTGCCTGATCTTTGAAGGATTGGCACATGCAAGTGGCCATAGCGTGGGTTCCCGAGAGGGCGTCCTGTTTCAAGACATCCCTCAGGCCAGAGCAGCACGCGGCATCGGGTTTCTTGTCTGTGGCGCCAACAATCACGAACGACAGGCAGCTCGCCAGTCCCAACAGCGACTCCGTGCAGTCGCCCTGTGAGTCCGGGGCCGGGGCCGGGGATGTCTCCGGCGCCGGCGCCGGTGCTGCCGAGGCCGACATCAAAGCCAGGAGGAGGATCGCCAGTTTTCTCCACCG